GTACTGCCTGGCCGAGGTGAGCCCGCTGCGCTTCCGCTGCACCGAGTGCCAGGACATCGAGCTGTGCCCCGAGTGCTTCTCGGCCGGCGCCGAGATCGGCCACCACCGCCGCTACCACGGCTACCAGCTGGTGGACGGCGGGCGCTTCACGCTGTGGGGGCCCGAGGCCGAGGGCGGCTGGACCAGCCGCGAGGAGCAGCTGCTGCTGGACGCCATCGAGCAGTTCGGCTTCGGAAACTGGGTGAGCGGCCGCGGCGGACCGGGCGGCGCTCTGCGCGGGACGCGCGGGGGCTTCGTCTCCCCCGGGTTAATGCAAACGCGACCTGCACCTGCGCGCTCGGGCACAGCGCGGAGGGCAGGTGGCGCAGGGACGGGTAGCACGCCCGGTGTGTGCACGGGAAACCCCAGCGCAGAGAGGGTGAGCAGCATGCCCAAGGTCACACAGCCAGGAAGTGGCAAAGCGGGGCTTTGGACTGTGGCCTTCTGACAGCAGAACTATTTTCCTAACCCTAAGGAGTATCTTAAATAGGTGGTTGCTGAGCGCAGGCTTCGGGCAAGACCCACGGCCTTACCTGAGTAGGAGTTGGTGGACATAGGCAGGTCAGCAGGCTTGACCCAGAGCGCTGAGCGAGGAGTTGGTTTTGCCTGGACAACAGCGGTGGTGAAGGCCAGACCAGCCTCACACACGCCCTGTGGCTTCTCCCACCGTCTCTATGCGCTTACTTTGTACTCAGGCCCGCTAGCTCTGTGGAGTTGTGTGTGCATGTGCCCTGTGTCCCCTCGTTTATCCCTGGGTCCCCACAACACTCAGGACATTGACTGTATGAGGCCTGCTCAGTCAGTACCCAGCAGAGGAGCGTGGAGGAGGAGCCATCTGTCCTGGGTTTCCTCTGTCCATCTGTCAGGTTTCTGTAGACGTTTATCTGAGAAGAAAGGTGAGCACTGGATGGAATTCCTTTACCAAAGCAGGTAGTGTGCTGGGCATCTGGAGAGAGAAATGGGGTGCTCTTGTCTAGGTGGTCTCTGAGAGCGCTCTCTCCACTCTGTGTTAGAAAGGGAAAATCGGGCTGTATCCTGGTCCATGACTGCCAGAGATACGTGGCACCTCCAGGCGTTACGAAAAGTGGGGAGAAGAGACAAGACCCCAGCTCCTTAATCTTTCCAGACCCTTCCACCTGATGGTCCCCTACTTCCCTGGACCAGTATGTCATCTTGCTGCCACTTCTCCAGCAGTACTCCCTCCCTGCTGGGCTTGCTGGTGGAAGACATTCCTCACTTCTCCCCTCGTTCCCGTTCCCAAACCCGTCCTGCCTTTATTTCCTTTTGCTCTCCTTTCCATAAAGTGAGCCAGTCTTCAGGGACCAGTACCCGTTCTGCAGCCCTGGAATCTTTATTCTCCCAGCTCCTTAGAGACACAGCTCTACCAGTGCTCACCTAGCACCAGCATTGTGATCACCACCCTCCAGAACCCTCCATCTCACTTTGTCCTGAAATGCCGTTTGTGGATGTGTATTGAGCATCTGCTCTGTGCACATTATACGATGCTGAAGGACTCTGAAGGAAAGCGAGGCTTCATCCTTGTCTGTAAGGGGCTTAAAGTGTTGTGATCGCTTGGTCCTGAGCCCACAGCTCTTCTCTAAGCTGCAGCCGTCAGTGTCAGAACGCTACCTGCCTCCTCACTGCGTGTCTCACGGATACCTCGACCCGGACCTCGCATCACCTCACTCAGCTACTCCGGCTGCAGCAAGAGCCATCCTCAGGTCCTTCCAGGCCCAGGTCAGCAGCAGCCCTATCTTCCAGATATTTCCAGAGTCTTACCACTTCTCACAACCTTAGTCCAGGCTGATGTTTATCTCTTGTTTTGACCATTTTTGGAGCCTCCCAGCTGGTCTTGCTGCCTCGTTCTTATGTCCCATTGCCCATTCCAGACACCGTAATCGGAGTGATCTTGGAAGACGTGTCCCATCAGAGCCGCCTTCAGGGGCTTCCAGGTCTCCTTAGATTAAACTTCACGGCCTGCAGGGCCTTACGGTGTCTCCAGACCGAGGGGGTCGCAGCTGCTGCCCCCTTGAGCATCTTTCATCTCTTCCCCCAAATCATGGCTCGTGACTGGGCTCTCTACTTACATATCAGTGCCCCAGAGAGACTTCCCTCCCCCACTCCATTCTGACAGCGCTTATGTCTACCGTAGCAGCTACAAATAGCCGACGTGGACCGAGAGCCTTGCTGTGTGCCAGGCACTGTGCTGAGCTCCTGGTGCCTTTCTCGTGAAGTCTTCCCAGCAGCCCCTGGCAGCAGGTTTTGAACTAAATAGTTTGACTTCCGAGTCTGTACTCCTAGCTGCACTGTCTACACTGCCTTCCCTGCAGTACCATGGAAAATACACGAAAAGCAAGCCTGGGGACTAAAACATTTATAGTGTATTGGAGGAAGCATGGGGCTGGAAGGGGACGTTCTCTAAAGCAGTATTTTTCCGACTTTCCTGTGCACACAAATCACCTGGGGAGCTTGTTAAAATGCAGATTCCTACTCAAAGCAGGCAGCACGTCTCAGCTGTTGTGAGAGACAAAGCCGGAGGAGGAGGGGCTTGGGCCTGGGTGCCGTGGGGCCATCTCCTTGCTGAGCCAGTGGTGGGTTCAGGGAGAGGCCTAGATTCTGCATGCTGACCGCGCCTGGGGAGCTGCCAGGCTGCCACCCACGGGCCACACTCTGAGGAGGGGCTTCCAGTATCTCTCTAGCTGTGCTCTCTTGGGCCAGCTGCTCTACCCGCTGAACTTCACTGTGCTTCGTCGGAGGCTCTTCTGCAGCTCTGAGATGTGTGGTTCCCTTCTGAGCAGATTTCCAGATACGTGCACATGAGCGGCATGTCCTGCGTATGCCGTATTTAGCATGCGCCTGTTTTGGACAAGACTCTTTCCGTACATGTCTCGTGCTCTTCGCAGCAGCCTGTGGGGTGGGTTCTTAGTTTACAGTTGAAGAACAGCGACTCTGAGAATTTAAAATACTTGTCCAGGATGCCCCGGCTTTTCACGTCCTAAAACCAGGGTTTAGATGCAGGCCTGTCTGATTCCAAAGTCAGTGCTTTAACTTCTCCGTGTAAGAGCATTAACTACTATGGGTCGGAGCCTGGGAGCTTACTGGTGCATCTGAAGGTGTGGCTGGACTGGAAGGGCTTTTCAGAGGAGTGGAGTCCTGACTGGTTCAGCGGGAGGTTAGTGTGTGGGCTTGGGAAGCAGGAAAGTGAGCGGGTACACGCAGGAACCAGATTTCACGGGCTGGATGTGGAGTTTAGAGAAGGGCAGTGTGTGCATCGGGACAGTGCTGTAGTGGAAGGTGAGACTGTTCATTCTAATTTCTCAGATGGCACATGTGACCTGTGAGTTGGGGTTGTACTGCTTTGTGTGGAGTTCATGGGGATGGGCCGATTTCAGGAGCTCTGGGGGTTGTTGCTGAAGTGTGGGGCCATTTGCTCACATTTTATCCTGGGGCTCAGGCACAGGGACCGACGGGAATGGACATGGCTGAGGGATGCTAACAGTAAGGCCTGGAGGGTTTGGGGACAAGCACTGTGGCCAGGCTCTAACACTGCATGCCCACGTGTTTGATGAGTGGCAGAGAGGATGGGTGGGGAGACGCCTGTGAAAACGAGGCCAGGGTAGTGTTGGCAGGCTGACAGTGACCCACAGAGTCACATCACCACGGCTGTTGAGAGCCTCGAGGCAGCTGGTTTTGTGGTGGGTGCTGCACAGGTTCAGAGAGGATACAGATCCTGCTGGAGCACAGACACAGTCGTAAACACAAAGGTGAAATATTTTATGATGATTAGAGACTGTGGTAGATGGGCCTTAGGTTCGTTGATTGGTTGCCAGAGGACTTGAACAGTTTGAGGATGGCCAAAGCTCCTTTGCAGATGGTGGTCAGGACGATGCAGGGGGAAGGAAGGTTCAAGTTAGCTTTGAAGGTAGATGTCAAATTAGGAATATACGTGCGTTCTCTGTGGGCTGCTCAGGGCCTTGTGCATGTGTATGTATGTTCAGGCCAATTATTGCAGGCAGGTGGATGCCATGAATAGAGTTTTACTTTTGTAGATGATGGACATCCAAAAGGCTGGCTAGGGGCCGGCCCGGTGGCGCAAGCGGTTAAGTGCGTGTGCTCTGCTGCGGCGGCCAGGGGTTCGCCGGTTTGGATCCCAGGCGCGCACCGACGCACCGCTTGTTAAGCCATGCTGTGATGGTGTCCCATATAAAGTGGAGGAAGATGGGCACGGATGTTAGCCCAGGACCAGTCTTCCTCAGCAAAAAAGAGGAGGATTGGTATCGGATGTTAGCTCAGGGCTAGTCTTCCTCACAAAAAAAATAATAATAATAAGAAACAAAAGGCTGGCTAATACCGGCTGGGTAGATAATCATTGCATTGTGCATTCGTTCATTGATCCATCCATTCGTCCAAGCCTATTATATGTCAGCCCGTGTTAGAGGCACAGAATATCCCCCAGCATGTGGTTTGTGGTGAAGACATGGATGGAGGTGAGACAGCTGTGTAACCTTGTGCAGTGTTGTATGATTACGGGGACGCAGGATCTCCTTTGGTGGAAGGGAGAAGAGAAGGCTTTCCAGGTGGGAGGATAGTGTGGATAGGGAGGTTTTTCGCCTTCTAGGAGTCTGTTGTGTTCAGGAGCCAGGCAAAAGCCAGCTTGCCTAAAGTGGAAGATTTGGGTTGGGGACAGGTAGGTAAGGTTGTGTGGAGTGACCATTGAAAAGCCTCGAGCACCAGGCCGTGAGGGGAGAACTGGGATTCTGAAGCTGATTCTGACTGAGCGGTCGCTGAGCGCCAGGCCCCAAGCTGGGTGGGCACTGTGACATCCACTCTCAGGCCTCCGCTTGCCCCCTATCCCTCCTCATTTACAAACGAGGAGACAGCTGTGGGTGATGAAGGACCGCGGCAGAGCTGGGATTGGAGCCAGGTCTTCTGACTCCATGCCGAGAACCATCTATTTCATTGGCTCACTGACTGCATGGCAGGATCACCCGAGGATTCCCAGGGACCGCCCTAGACCCCCTGAAGTGGCATCTCTATGGGTGAGGTCTGGAAATAGTATTTACAGAAGATTCTCAGGGAGTTCTGATGCAGCGGGTCCATGGAGCTGCTTTTGGGAACCGTGAGAACCATTACCTTCTCACCAAGGCAGAGAAGTGTCTTCTGTGTGTTGGTTGGAAAGGGTAAGTCCATCCTGTGAGCATC